ATAATACAATTGATTATTACTTACCTCAAGGAAAGAAGTAAATTGATGAAACAACAACCATTTGATGTCATGTGATTTTATTTGAGAATTTTCAATTGGTTCTGAAACTAAAACGATATGCTACCAATTAAGTAATAGCATAACAGAAGCTTGTAATGAATGTGGGTTAAATTACCTTTTATTACATTTACAAGCTCTTCAATGACTAACCCGAAATTCTGCAAAGATTCTTTTTAAACCGATAAAATTACAATAATTAATAAAATACAAAATATAAATGAATGTAACGAATGTTAATATAATTTATAAGTTACCTTTTTGACCATTTTGAATTTCCTTTACAGCTATGAAAAGATGACCGAGTTTTACGATTACATTGCCAAGTTGCAATTCCTGTTCCATTATCTGTTATAGTAATTTCAATTTTAGTATTTATAAATAGATTATAAGGCATCGTAGTCAAAAAAATTATATATATACATAATGATTATCATTGTTCTCTTCAATTAATATTTTTTCTAATTCTTCAACCATTTGTTTAACATTATCGGCATTCTGCTCAACATGCATGCATCTTAATAAACGTGGAATAATTGAGAATATCTTAAGCCATGATTTCTGTATAAATAAATAAATTAATGAAATATATTAATAATATTAATAACTCTATTAGGCCATACAAAATAATTTTCTTGGTTTTTCATAACATAAAATTTTAAAACAGACCCGGCAACCCGGCTTTGTTTTAAAATTATATATATATCTTTTAAAAAAATCTACCCGGTTATAAAAAATAAATTTCTTAGGATTGCAAATTTTGACACGGTCGGGTTATGTAAACCAAAAAATTTTATTATATGATTATATGGCCTTATCTCATTGTCGTAGAACTTAAGTTTGCTTACATCAAGTTTTGGCGATACTTTAGTAATCTCTTCCATTGTTGGGATGCTATCAGAATTGAAATTTGGCATGGAAATAAAATCTCTATTATCTCGAAGATTTGAACAAAAGTCATCTAAGAAAAAAATCAAAATAACAATTGTTTTAAAATATAATATATGAGAACATGTATTCAGGAAAAAAATAAAATATTGCATCGAATACCATCATATAAAAGATCAGAAATCTCCAAATCTTGGAGATACTCCATTACTTGCTTATTGGTTTTTGAAGCAACCCAAATCTCTAGCCGCATTAATTCTCGACAAACAAGTGTTTTCTGTAAAGAATTTTCAAGTTCTCTCCGAAGTGCAACGAATTCTTGAATCTGATGTAAAAATGTTAGAAATTAAAAATCATAATGTAAATTAAACATATTAAAATATATTTTATTACTTTGGAAAATGTTGTATATTTGAAGGCATGTACTATCATCTCAGGTGTCTGCAAAAATCGCTGTAATCAGTAATCCATATATTAATAATATAATTCAAGCGTAAGTTATATACACCTCAAGATCATTACTGCGATAAATAGGTAGTGTATCATAACAAGTTTGAATAGATTCTTCAAAGAATCCTGTTGAAAATGACCGCGAAACTATGTAGTGGCTATGAAAAAAAAAAAATGTCAATAATTATAATAACCTTAAATTTACGCAAAAATATTTAAACCTCATAGTATCCAGTTGAACATGTTTAATATCCATTGACTTGTACAACTCTAATGGCCTATCAAAGATGCCTGTTAAGATTCAATAGAATTATTAGCAAGTTAACTTTTTTAATAGAGTTACTAGAGAAAAATTACTCACTCACCAATAGACTGATACAATCTTATTAAAAGTAATTTGAATTGGAAGTTATAATTGCTTTTTGCCATTGCAGCTTCTAAGAGACAAATTGCTTGAAAGATATAACTGCTTTTGCCTTTAATTGAAAAAATAATACAAAATTTAAAATAATGTACAGATTACATGGCAACGAGTACTTGAATATGTGATTAAGACACACCAACTTTTTTATATAAATCAATCAAAACATGTGAACATAATACGACAAATTCGTCACCATATTGATTTTCTGTGTCCATTAATTTAGTTCCTACACAAAAAAAAAGACCAATTGGTTAAAAGCTTCAGATTATTGAATGTAAAAAAATAAACACAATATACCATATTTAAGCGAGTCTTTGTATGAATTCCATAGTTTATTAACATATTGTATTGATTCGACCTCGTTATATTCTACAAGTAAATTTAAATATCTCTCAAACTTGTGAATATTTATATTCTTTTGGATATTTCGAATATTGGACTATTATTAAAATTTAATATTAAAAAATATACATAAAATGACAATACAATGCACTATTGATCTGAAATGCCAAAAACCTTGTTATCACTCGACTCATCAATTGTAGCCTTGAATTTCTCGATTATTTTTTTAGTCGAATCTATAGGAATTTCTTTCAAATAAGGTTGCAAATCTTCAAAGCAACATGCTTTGGATCCAAACCTGAGAAAATAATCGACAACAAGAGTATCGATTTCTTTTGCCGGTTTACCTAATATTATATATATATATTTAACATAAGAATAAATTGATTGATAGATAATACTACTATTTACATACAATCTTTTAATTTTTCGACGATGTTCTTTTCCAATTTAAGTTCTGCAAGGAAAGGGCCACGTTTTATTTCAGGACTCTCTATTACACTTTTTTGCAATGAATATAAAAATTCACGAGCTTCGTCTAAATTAACAGAAGCTGGACTATTTATATATGAACATAATTAATTAATATTTGTCAAATAATTGAAACCAAATAATTGATTAAATAAAATATACCTGCAACCATTCTCTGTCACATTAGGTTCAGAAAGTAAATGTAAATAAGATTCCAAATATGTGAAATAACAGTTCCAATCATCTGGACTATTTTGAAATCAAATGACATGTCAGATGATTTCAGAAATATTTGATTTCATTTTTCGAAGTAAAAGAACCAATCTACCAACTTCGATTCTGTTAATGACTTTTTATTCGTCTCGATAGCTTTAATCCAGTTG